AGGTCATAGCACATTATCAGTTACTATCCTACTGTACTCTCAAGACTTCCTATCTCTTCTGACTTCAGGGATGTTTTATTTGAACACTTGGTAGTAGTTAGTGCAATGCTCAACGGTAAAAATGACTAACCCCCTGATTATTTCTCCCGGAAATTGAGTTCAGATATAGGCCCAATTATACAGCATTCTGGCCGTCGAAGGTGCTCTGAACCAAGCAATATAGCGCCAATATTGTGTTCGTTTCTGTGACAGTTTCCATATCGGGACATGGGATCTGCAGAATCAGTGGCAGTGAATCTTCGATCCCTCACTCTCACGACGTTCTCTTGTCTGCTACCACGTCAATGGCGACCTTCAGCTGGGGCCTTCCCGGTATCACCCTTGATCCTCCCCCCCTCCGCGATGGACAAGCCTTTCCCGCCTTCCCCCCCCCATGGAACCGACTTATTTTCGGACCTGTCGGCCTCTACGAACTTCGTCGAAAACTTGGTGTTCACGCTGCAGAGCCTGGGGTTTTTCAACGCTATCGCCAGCGCTTTCTTACGGCCGATATTGCATGGTTTGCTGCTGGAGCTAGCACTGATGGCCAACACCGCGTTGGACAACCAGGTTTTTTCCCTGCTCTGGAATTACTTCGCCGACCGCTGGTGACTGGACCTGAGGGCTCCCAAATCAGGAGAGCGCTCAGTGACCAGATGCAGGTCGCGATTTGGGACATGGTACGTCGTGTGCTGGTGCCCCCATATATTTTTTCAACTTTCTTCTTTTGGCAGGCCACTACTTGGGATCGTGCGTTCGGCGGAACGACTATGATCATGCACATCGACGGCACCACTAGACCGAACACTCCAGCGGAGCCTCAATATCTCCGTGCACCGACCTACCTCCCCCCCGCGTTTGTTGCCGCTCACCCCGACAGTCACGCGCCAATTGCGCGCATCGTCCAGACCTTCATCGAGGCTGTGGGAGTGCCAACGGTTGTGCAATGGCGGCTCAATGCGCAGCGACTGAACTGGTCATTAACGCAGGCGGGGATGAGCGGCAGTGTCAACACCCCATCCAATCAGCTCATCCCGCCTCCGCGGCCTAATTCCTCGCTTTACCACTTCTTCGGACGCCATCCCGGCACTCTCGACGCCCTCATTGCTTCACCTCCCTCGTCATCTCGGCCCGCCATCCTCATCGACGATGACGACGACTACGACAATGATCTCAATGAGGCATCTTTCGCTCTGATGGATGCATTGGAGCGCGCAAGTTATGCTGAAGAGCAGGCAACGCAGCGGCTCATCAGGATCAACGAACTCGAAGAACAGGTCAATGTCCTCTTGAATCAAGTCAACACCGCTCGGCGTGCAGGTGAGTATTACTCGACATATATTTGAATTATTCTCATTCCATCTTGTAGCCCCTTCAGCTCCTACCACTCCCGCCCGTTCGCGTGCAACTCCCCAGCATACTCCTCAGCGTGCTGTGGGGCCAATTCGTGGTGGCCCACCCCCATATTCTCCATCGGTAAACCCACGGTCTCCGCTGGCCTTGTCGCCTGACCGTTTGCGTGCGGAGATCTCCCCTGGTGACAACCGCCTGGACGGATTCATTGAGGCTCATGGCCTGGGTAACCACGCGGCGGCTATCAAGCTGGTGATACGCGTTTTCAATCCGGTGAAATGGTATGAGGAGCTTGAAAACTTGGGGATTCCTGCAGCGGTAATATCGAGTCTTTTGGATTTATACCACTAGTAGTAACTGCATTCCTTCCATCTGTTGTTTTATAGAATGAAGGACGGCTTATCGGGCGCTTAAAATTCAAGTACCATTTTTTTAAGCGCCGGATAAGTACCACAGCAATCTGTGATCTCTTCATTCCAACTACCACCATGCTGACTTCCTACTTCCTAGATTTCCGCTTCGTTCCGTTCCTGCCGCGCCCACGGTCACGCCTGCAAATTTATTCAAGAAAATTCACCTGCACCCTACCATGCCCGCCGTATACACTACCGTTGCTGCAGCCAGCGCAGCACGCCGCCGCCCGGATGAGCCCCCAAAGAAGACAGCCCCCCTCACCGCAGAGCAGCAGAAGGAGAAGCGCGATGCTCGAGCCGACAAGCAGGCGCGGATGGACGCGAAGGTCCGCAAGTGGATGGAGGACACCAACGCGCTCGCGAACTCCATGGCCGAAGAATTTGACGTCAAGCCGCGCTACATCCTCGACATATTCTTCCAAGGCGGCGCGCACATGATTCACCACCAGGAGGTCACCAACCCGTATAACGCGTTCAAAGCTCTGAAGGCCGCCGAGGTTCGTGAGGGTATGTGCTGATTTATCTTTGATTCGTATTTTCTCCCCCGTCACATTTTTCTTTCTTACTGAATTCGTCGGTCTAGCTGGTGAGTCGAAGGACGCGCAAGAGCTCCACCTCGACTATTTCGACGAGTACAACAAGCTCACGGAGGAAGAGAGGAAGAAGTTGGTCACCGAATACGACAAAATCAAGGAGCGGAACTTCTCCCTCCGCCGCGATACCCCACGCGCCAAAATTCAAGATGTCTCTAATGTTGTGCGTAACATGAAAATGCTGGTGAGTTTTTTGGATGTATTCAATATGTTCAGTAACCGTACCAATCTTCCGCAGATGTACGGTATGGCGCAGCGCGTCGGCATCGAGGGCTTCTTCTGCGTTGTTCGGAACAACGTCGAATTCAAGATGGAGCCAGAGTGGTATTTTACGAGCCGGGAGCTGGAGAACTACATGGAGATCGCCACTCGGAAGAGATGGGTTACAGGCGAGATCGGGGCAAAACTTGAGGCGTTCGCGATCGCGGGATGCGATCCTGTCAGTGCGTATGACCTCTACTCCATTTTCTTACCACTCATCCTTTCGTTTAGATATGCTACGCACCGCCAAGCAGAAAATCGATTTCATGAAGGGCGAGATACGTGCACGGTTAAGTAAGGGACTAGGTACGTAGAACTACATTCATATCCTCCTATCAACAGTAACGGTTTTATAGAGGAGGTCTCAAAAGTCCCCGACGCGCGCCTGGCGTGGACATGGTTCGAAGAGGATGTCATTCAGCGTTACGACGTCGTACTCGAAGGCTGGACCGCGGGATCTACGATCGTTGACCCAAGTAAGCTCAGTTCCTCCCAGACTGTCATCCGCACCCTTCTCGAAGCGGTGAAGTCCGGCGACTGTGCGTTCAGGAAGCTGGGGCCGACGGAGGCCGCGGCACGTCGTAAGAAGTGGGACGAGGATGTTGCGAGTGGGAAGGCAATCGCAAAACACCGGGCAGCTCGATCTGACGCCGGTGTGCCTCGGAAGCGTACACACGCGGAGCGAGAGGGGGAAGGGGAAGGGGATGAGAGTGATGAGAACACGGCACCAGCTGCCATCTCCACGCCGCCGGGCGCACCCACTAAACGTCTGCGCACAGGTCACAACGAGCAGCGGGCCTCCACGGTGTCACAGAAGAAGAAGGCTCCTGCTGCGAACAAGAACAAGGCCGTGCCCAGGAAACAGGCTCCCGCTGCCTCCGCTTCTGGAACGCGGAACGACGCGACCACGGCGGCAGCGCTGAAGAGACTTAAAGAGTCACGCCCGCGCCCGCGGATCACCAGTAACGCCATCATCACCAGCGAGGATGAGCGCGACGATGATCCTGAGGCCGACGAAGAGGGTGATGGTCCCGCCGCCGCCGCAACGGACGGTACCGCCGCCGCTACTGACGGTACCGCTCGGGGCGACGGCACTGCGCAGAGCATGCCCACCGACCTCTTTGCATTTGGCGCGCCCACCGACCCCTTTACGTACGGTGCGCCTGGGCAAGACTTTGCGTACGGTGTGCCCCTTGAATTTGGTGCGCCCACCATCGATTATGGCGCACCTGGCGGCGGAATCATCCCTAGCACCCATTACCGCCCCGCTAGCACTGCCGTCTCCTCCGTTCCGCACACGTCTTATTACCGATAAATGAATAGCTTTTTTGCCTTGTGTTTTTTAATAAAGAAATATGCATTCACTGGACAGAATAACAATTCATGAGGCATAGTCCCTCCTATGCCCAGTGAGAGCCCAGAAAGCACTGTGGCGGCGACATTTAAGGTGCCCATCAGTAGCGGCAGTCCGACAAGGTCCGATGATGTCCGAGCCCGGCGGGATTGATCCCCCGCGGTCTTTGACGGGCCATCATTGCCGCCGGCAGAGCCCGACCACCGTCCTGCTGCGCTGAAGTCCTTGAGGAGAAGATATCCATAGGTATTAACGGCGGGTTGAGGTTTTGAGTGGTTTTGATACCCAGTGGACCCATCATCACGTACTGATCATGCGGTCTGATCTGTTGATATGTACGGGTAGGGTAGGTGCAAATTTGTTGTGGCGTTGTCAAGGCATTGTACAACGCCAAACAACGCCAAAAAACGCCAAAAAATGCCCGAAACGTCACAATGCGCCAATGCGGACAATTTTCGGCGAAAATCTCACAACGCCGGAACAAGATCATCAAATATCATCGGAACGCGGATTGATTGCGAGACCATTCGACCTCTCGGAGTCCCTCTACTACCCTCCGGACCACCGCACAGCATATTGGCCATTGTCCTTGGCCCACCACCCTACAAAAGCCAACTTGATTTTGGTGAACAACGCCGAAACGCCAAAAAACACGTGAAACGCCACAACAAAAATGTCAAATGGCTGATGTATCCCATCCCATAGGAACAAGACTCCGTAGCATATGGTATGTATCCTCGCTCTTTGGGTGCCGGGAAATCGTGTTTCTCGATGCGGAAGAACCCGGGTGGGGTCCTCCGGTTTTCGTTTCTGACAGCTTTTTGTTCTTCAGGCCCGGTGGGTCTCGAGTCAAGTAAGTCCTCTGTGCAGCCCGAGGTAAAGCCAATCTTTCTTCCTTGCGCGGCGTTGGCGTTGGCCGAGTGGGCAGGCGATAAATGGCACATAAAACTGTGTTCCTCTCTCAAATATCCTATCCTACAGGAACAAGACCCCGTAGCATATGGTATGCAGCCGTCCTCCTTGCCATTTTGCGAAGGTATTTCTGGATGTGGAAGAACCCGGTTCGATTCCGGGCGGGGTCTTGACAGGCCACACACTTTTTTCCCCTTCATTCATTAAATATATCTCTCTACCTTCCAAGCCAGGTCGGTGAACTTCGACGAGAGAAAGGAAATTCCAGATGGTATATCCGGCATCCCGGGCGACACGTTGTGCGTTTTATCCAACGTGCACTTGGCGGACGAGACCATGGGTGCCAGATTCATTTGACCTTGCTAGAAAGAATGCGAGTGAATGTGTAGGAAAATACGGAAAGCACACTCATTGTTAATTCAGCTTCTCGCCAAGCAATATTGATTTCATCTTTTCAGGCTTCGATTTATATAAGACTTATTTGATTGTACGTCCAAGTCCTACTCGCATTACTCCGTGAAAACGATTTGAGTATTCGGATGGGCGGCTATTTGGATAGAAACTTAGCTTTGCAGCCGGGAATATTATTTGATCTCTAGTCAAGGCTGATTGAAGGTGTGTTCATCGCACTTAAGATCTCAAAATACATCTGTGGTGTGCAATGGTGAATATCGTCAACGAGATCAATATAATATCGTGCAAAAGGGACTTAGCGTAGCATCTTGGGGCGAGAACTGGGAAGAGCGGATAGTCGTTTCCAGTTTATTTATTTACGCTCCTGTTTTGTATTTGCCGAGTGAATAAGTTATCAAGTCTAGAAGGTCAGCTGATGTAGACAGGAAACGAATAAAACGGTGGAGCAGCGGGATTTGACTCGAACATGAGCAGTAAATTCCGGATTGAATGCACTTCAGTGGCGAAGTTGAAGTCCGGATGCATTAGATCTTGAATTTGACAAGCTTTCGAGGAAAAGACGGAACGAAGGACGACGGTGAAAACCTAGCCGTAATTTGTAGATGGACCTGATGTCGGTTGATTATCGAGCAATACGTATGATTTGGAGTTGTTATTATCATCGGAGATTTGAATACGAGCACCGAAGGTATTGATTTTACTTGGTTCGATTCAAATCCAGGTGATGTGATTTGATGATGGGTCCAACGGCGTTGGTTCAGTACAATGTAAATTCAAGTCTCGGATGGTTCGTAGCTCCTGATCGGCTGGTATAGTTCAGTCGGACTGAGCAAGTATTGGACTTTGAGTTTAGCGGTATGCGAATCCGAGTCGTTCCGCAAGTAGGCTAAGTACGCAAATTCGACATGGAAGCATGCAGTTGAAGGAGCTTCGTCCCGAATGGCCCACCAAGATCGGATAATACCCGCAAACAATTTAAAACCGAGACGACATGAGATAGCTGTTGGGTCCGTTCTAGATAAAGACAGTCCGCTGCCAGGTTGAAGAAACCAATTAATCCTTTGGTTCCGAAATCACGTAGGCTTAAATTGAGGTTTGATGTCATTGAATTCGACGGCGAAACTGTCGAAATTCTTGGTCAACGAGCAGTAGATAGACAGATGAGGACCATAAACAGCCCTCAGCCAGGAGGTTTCAACGTGACGGTCATTCAATAATGTTGTCCCCCCTTGACCGGCGCGATAGATAGATTTGGTTCGCTAGAGATGGACACGCTAGGCTCAAAGCTCAAAACTCCCTCTTGGTTTGATGAGTGCGGTAGCGAAAGCAGGGAGTCTCGTTAGGTCGATCCTCCGAGTCGGCCGAATGTTAGTGGGTAGAGTTGAGTCAGAACGGTTACAGTTAGAGCGCGCGAGGGAAAATGGCCCAATGTGATGCGGGACAAGACGATTTGAGCGGTCAGGGGCCGACTATAGTTCCATCCGTCGCAACTCTGAAGCCGTGGAAGTGTGGCAGGAGGCAATCCGACCGGAAAGAAGTCCAAGGTGTCCGTGGAAATCTCAGAAGGAACCGATTGAATTGAACGTACGGCACGCTGGGGGAAACCCCAGATTTGAGGTACTGTCGTGCAAGTCTAGCAAAGAATCCGTCGGATTCAGCGGCAGCTACGGCTCCCCAGGGGTATGGTTTCCGCTCTTGTTCCTGTTTTGTTTTGAACTATGGCATTTTGAGAGTGAATCAGTCTCGCGATTTTGTTCTTCAGTACTGAGGACTACTAGGTGTTCGAGATGTCGATCAGGGAAAGATAGGAGCAATGTGGCATTTTGTCGACATGAGGCTGGCAGATTTCAGACTTGTATGAGTGCAGTTGGAGCGCGAGGGCCCATAACCTCTTAAAACCGTAGGTTATGGTGATGATAGCGTAGTGGATTGAGGACGAAGGTGATCGCAAGAGCGGAAGATACAGCGTCTAATTTAATCCACCTTGATGCCGCATGACCCGTCGGCATCTCGGCCACCTCGAAGTTGACCCGGTCACTCCTAAATTCTAACACAGATATCCTATCCTACACACGGCGGACAATCCGTTGCCCTTTTCAATTTTAGGCCAGCGTGTCCTTGCACATGCCTCGACCATGTCCTTTCGCTAAACCCGGGTGCTTTGACCTTTCGGGGTTTTCCGCGGGCACGCTGCAGCCACGCGTTCTCGGGGTTTGCCGGCAGAAAAATGATCCAAATAGTGATTTTGCAGCTCTTGGGTTGAGTTTTGGGTGGAATATTTCCGAACATAGCTTGGATCGTGCAGTATTTGCCATAGTACAAGGAAATGCGAAATATTTGAGGGAGACCAAGCTAAAATCGGGCCACAACAGGTCCTGAATGTGAAGAATTCAATGCTTGATTTTATTTCACTGGCCAATTTGAGCAGGATTTGGTGGGAGCGTTGTATACCATTCTCTGGTGATTTTTCACTTGGTTAACTGACAGAAACGGTCCTGCAATGGCCGGTATAGAGGCACATCAAGAGGAGTGTGACAGGTGAAATCATGCCGAGTGCTGCCGGGGAGTTCCGGGCGGTCACACCAATGTTCAAACAGCCTTGAGCCAGCCATTTCATTCTCTTTTAATCTGGAGGAAAATCTAGAATCATTCTATGGTGAGCAGTTTCACCTGCTCCCCCCACATTATGTGAATTGAATACGCTAAATGCAATAGAACTGTGAGTTATATACACTTGGGGCATGTTCTTGGGCGGTTTTTGCATGTCCTCCTTCCATTCTTCAGCACAATATTGTGACTTATACCCATAGCTATCTTACCAGCCACATCCAAGAGGATTCAAACAAAAAAGTCGCCCGAGAGCTGCAAAATAATTGTTTGGATCATTTTTCTGTCGGAAAACCCCGAAAACGCGCGGTTGCAGCGTGCCCGCGGAAAACCCCGAAAGGCCAAAGCACCCGGGGTTAGCGAAAGGACATGGTCGAGGCGTGTGCGAGGACGCGCTGGCCTGAAATCGAAAAGGACAACAGGCTGTCCGCCGTGACAAGGACAAGACCCCGTAGCATACGGTATGCATCTGCCCTCCTTATCTCGGCCACAATGCCTCTGGATGCGGAAGAACCCGGTTCGATTTCGGGCGGGGTCATTCTGCGTTCAGTTGAGTTCTAAGTGCTTTTTGTTCTTGAGGCCTATCTCCAGTTAAGTTTTCTGCGCAGCCGAAGTCAAGCCAATTTATTTTTCTTTTCCTTCTACAGTGTTGGCGTTCGGTCGAGTGGGCAGGGGATAGATGGTCTATAACACGAGGTACGAGCACAATTTTTTATAGCGCAATTTTTATAGCGAAATTGTGTTCCCCTCAAATACTCAATCCCAGAGGAATAAGGTCCCGTAGCGTATGGTATGCGTCTGCGCTCCTTGCGCGTGGGTATGGTTTGTTTCTGGATGCGGAAAATCCGGTTCGATTCCGGGCAAGGTCTTCGAAGATTAAATCTGACAAGTTTTTTTTTTTCACCCCGCAGCCAGGTCGACTTTTGACCTCACCTATTATAGATCTACCATCCTCCACTCAAATCGAGGTTCGAGGGTCGGTTCAACAGGTTCAGAGTACTAGTCCGAGTGAACGGCCGGGGGTTCCGGGGATCCTGCCAGTGTACCGTCAATGGCAATGCACGCGGACTTCGGGGTTGTTCAATTAATATTTGACTAGGACTTGACTTGATCTTCAGTACTTAGCATTTCTATGTGCCGGAACGAGACCGAGACCACCCAATTTGAAAGAAACATATATTTGCCCTGGTCTCGAGGCTGTGGAATGAGTGAATTCAGACGATTCTTCGGCTGCAGGGTGCTTCTCACTCTGGCCTTCATCAGGTGAGGGAATAAGACTCCGTGGCAGGTGGTATGCGTCCGCGTTCCTTAGGTGTCGGAGGTGCTTCTGGATGCGGAAGAACCCGGTTCGATTCCGGGCGGGGTCTTGTACAATAAAGTTGCAAAGCTTTCTATTCTTGCGCGGTGTTGCTGTTGAGTGTTAGTCGAATGGTGACGATAATGAGTGAAATTGTATCCCTCTCTCAGATATCTCATCCTGCGACTCCGTAGCATGTGGTATGCGTCCGCGCTCCTTAGTTGTCGGCTGCGTTTCCGGATGCGGAAGAACTCGGTTCGATTCCGGGCGGGGACATTCAGCCTCCGCGGTTCGAGAAGCTTTTTACTCTTCAGTGTGAAGTCCTCCTCTGTGCAGCCCAAGGTAAAGCTGATTTCTCTTCTTTTTCCTTTCGCGGTGTTGGCCTTGGGTGCTGCTCGGTTCAGTGGCGAGAGGGGTGGCACATGAAATTGTGTGCCTCTCTCAAGTATCCTATCCTGTAGCAATATGACCCCGTATCATATGGTATGTCTTTGCTCCCCGTAATCAACAATTTGTGCAGTTGACTCAGCGGAAGAACCCGATTCGATTTCAGGCGGGGTCTTAGACATGAAGTTAACAAGTTTTTCATTCTCCAGGCCTGGGTCTCGAGTGAAGTCCTCTGCAGCCTGAGATAAAGGCAATCTTTCTTTCCTTCTCGCATGCCTACTTTCTTGTGCGGTACGGGCTTTGGAGACACACTTCAGGCTATGGTCTTCTTCTTTGTCATCTCACGCTCTTTTGTGATAAAATCACGTTGGGGGTTCCAGATCCCGGAGGAAGGATACCGCGGCAGGTGTAGGTCCGGCTCTGTGCCTTCCTCTTCCGTGACGGGTGTCCCTGTTCCAGCACACACGCGTGCTTTCGGTAGCCGTATAAGAATATAATATTGTTACCACTTGCATTTGGCACCGTATTTTCTGCCAACCTCTCCAAGTTTGGGTAGTGGGACTCAGATTTTGAGAGCGAAGCCGGTGGCAATCAAATTTTACCGAAGGTCTGCTTGGGACATTTTGTACAGAGGTGTCTAAATTCAGCCGTCAATTTAACCAGTAAAAACAGCAATTCACCAACTTTCCTTCGATTTGAATCCGCTATCAAATCACTATGATTTTTGTATTGCTGTTTGCATCGGCCCGAGGTTGAAATTGAACCGTGGGAAATAGTTGTCAAACTGGGATGAATATTGTTTCTAGCCTCCATTTGACTTCCTAGGAGAGGTTGCGGCGCTACCTTCGGTGGATCAGCGCTCGGAGCACAGACCCCACTTCATTTCATCCCATGGTGCATAACCGTATGCGAGTGGATCAAAGCCTTTACTGACCGGTCTTCCTGCTGTAAACTTGTGTAGGGACGCATGGAGCCGGTCACCATTAATTAGATACTAGGGGACATTGTCTCAGCCCCTATTGGATTTAACCGGGTCAGTATACTTGGATAGCTCACTTGAACAACTCCTACTGCCCCCATCAAACCCGCCGAAGCGCAGGCCGCAGCCCGGTTGGTACACATCACTCAATATTCTGGGTGGGTAGCCGAAAACTTCTTCTGGTTGAAAGCTTGCCGCTCTCAAGTCGGGGTGAAATCACAAAGTTTACCCCTGTTCTATTGAAGCGCCACTCCAACCGCGGTAGCCTGGTTGCTCGGTCGGCTTTAATTCTTCGGCTGGTTTAAACAGATTACAGCGAGGCTTACCTCAATCCTTTGAGATCTTCCCTCAGGAAAATAGGGTGTGAAATATCTCCGCAGAATTGATGCAGGATGTCGCGTGTTGGGAGACATGAAAAAAACCCGTACACAGGAATGTGGCGGGAGCTTGTGACCGTCATGCCGCTATTCTGAACTATTGCGAACTTCGCCGAATTATTGCGGACTTCGTTGAATTATTGCGGCTCCGGTGAGCGGCTTATGATCTCGGGCTTCGCTGAGGATGTGGACTTCGTTGAATTGTTGCGGCTCGGGATTGCGGACTTCGTGGTCCCGAGTACTGCAACTTCCGAACTATTGCAAACTTCGCCGAATTATTGCGGCTCCAGTGAGCGGCTTATGATCTCGGGCTTCGCTGAGGATACGGACTTCGTTGAATTGTGTCGGCTCGGGATTGCGGACTTCGTGGTCCCGAGCCGTCTGCTTCTCGGGATTGAGGACTTCATGGTCCCGAGCCGCCCGCTTCTCGGGATTGAAGACTTCATGGTCCCGAGCCACCTGCTTCTCGGGATTGAGGACTTCATGGTCCCAACCGCCCGCTTCTCGGGATTGAGGACTTCATGGTCCCAACCGCCCGCTTCTCGGGATTGAGGACTTCATGGTCCCGACCGCCCGCTTCTCGGGATTGAGGACTTCATGGTCCCGAGCCGCCCGCTTCTCGGGCTTCGCTAACGATGGAAGCTTTCAGTCCTCCATAAATACTGCGTAACGATGCCTGGTCTTGCACCCCAACATGCCTGCCCTCCCAGACGGCTCGCTCTCCATCCTTGCCTCACCGCTCCCACCAGCCACCGCGGCCAAAATAATGCTCATCGTCATCGGCCTCCTTCTCATAGTCGCGTTCCTGTACTACACCTCCCCGACGTATCTAACACGTGTTCTTTCCGACACTATGAGCAATCTCGATAAGGTCTTTGGGGAAGTGTCCACCGCGGGGCTCCTGGGGCTGCTCATCCCGGAGGATGTACAAGCCGTCGTCTCGACGTACGTTGCTTATTTCATACCTTCTCTAAGCTGTAACCTTTTGGCAGGTATCAAATGTTGCGAGTCGAGGTCGGAAAGCTCCAAGCAGAGACATTGCGCAATTCCAAATGGTGGTGCATCGGTTTATCCAGTGTCTTCACGGGTGGTTCAGTGTCCCTTCTCTGCTGCATCAAGGATGTGAAGGACTTTGCGAGGCATCTCCAGGTACCTTCACCACGACTAATATGCTCCCAGGTGGCTAAATTTTTGCACAGGTTTTACAGGAAGACCATCGCAACAAGACCAACTCTTTGCCTTTGTCATTTGCGACCGGTGTTTCTCGTTCGACAGGCACGGCGCGCTTCGGTTCCTAGCTGTCTAGATTTGTCATATTATTCCTGCACCCATATCCATTAGGATATTTATCTCGATACCCCCCTCCTATCTCTCTGTTGTACCGCTATCTGTATGCTATCAACTTGCTTGGGCTGAATAATAGGACCCCCCAAAATATCCTATGATGCCTGTCCACAAGTCAACGGGCCACAGGCAGTTTTCATCTGGACCCAAAACTGGGCAGTTTGTATCTGAATTTGACCGATGCATATGCCTGAGGGCAGTTTTTATCTGTATTTTTCCAGGTCAGAGCGGAGAGGTGGCTGTGTTAGCGGATCAAAATTGTTTTCGCCTTTTTGATGCGACATCAGAGTCCTTTCTTTTTGCCACCACGGTGCGTACCAGGCATGATGATACCAGTCAACCGGCTGACAGCTAGATTATCCGACCCACGCCCAACCCCTGTATATACGCAACACACTGCGCCCACACCTCCAGGAGACGCCGACGCTCACAAAGTCCGAGCGATTTCTTCCGAAGCCCTACTACTAGCCCTCTGCCCAGCCCACGCGGAGTGTACGCACCCTACATCGTTGGCCCGACACCCCTCGCTTCCCCTAGGCACCGTCTGGTTCCACGCGGAGGTCACACGAATCCCTGCCGTGCGTTATTTTGGCTGTCGGAATCGTACGAGTTTGGAATTTCGATTCACCAAAGCCAACAGATCACTGCCCGAATCCTCCAACTATTTTTCACCGCCGGCTAGTCCTGTGGTCCACCGCTCTTTATGTCCTTTGGCTGCCCAACTCCCTTCCATCTCAGTTTACGACGGTGGAGGTCTGGATGGGTTCTGGCTGTATCCGGTCCTTCCATTTAATCATGTCTTGCCAAATCTGGTTCTCCAAGGCGTCCTGTTCACTGTAGTTTCTTTTTAGACAAGCGATATCCTGTTCGCACGCATCGCAGCGCCGGTTGAGTTCTTCCAGCTCGGCTGCGTCGATTTCTGCGTCGATTTCCTCCCCGCCATGACTGACCAACGTCACATGCCGGTGCCCGACCGCTCACCGATCCAAACGCGGACGACTATGCCAACCAAATGCCGCAGACTCGAAACTCGAATCGTCCCTAGCCTCGGGATTGTGTTCATTCTCGTGGCTCGCTCGCGTCAATCAACCTCTTTATCGATGGTTCAGGTTCTAATCAAGTGACGACGAAACGGAACGAGTCGAAACCAAATGAGCCGAAACTCAAGAGAATAAAAACAGCCGGGAGGCCCGCGCATACGGGCTCAGGAGTCGAACCCCGGAGCTGCTTCGGCTCTTCAGAGATCACCGTCACAGAGTGCAGCGGTGCCCGCACACGACGCCCGCGTTTTAACCATCGAGCTGACTCCGAGTACGTGCCTTCGATTTCTTTTTCCTGCTCGCGCATTGCGCTGACGGGAAATAATTCTTTGGATCTCAAGGTCATGCGACGTCTGCGTTCCCTATTGTCTCCGGGTAGGTGCTTGATATCTCTATCTCTAAATCTCGGGATAAAAGGCCTGACGGTGACGACGTGGACTAGGCGGACGCGGGGAGTCGAATCCCGAGGCTGCCGTACATCCTCTTAACATCCTCTTTACAGAGGGCAGCTGTGCCCCGCACCACGTCCGCGTTCCCTTGCTGGACTCGGCCCATAGTAGGTGGGTTAGATTTTTTGGTTCAGGTGGGTTAACGGAGGGAAAAGTGTTTCAACAGACGCGGGGTAGTCGAACCCCACCAACTGCTTCAAAGCCCCGGCACAAATTTTGAACAGAGGGCAGCAGTGCAAGCCGCACGATGTCGGCGTTCAAGATACTCATTTAATTTTGGTAAGTGGGCCACATCGTATTGTATTGTGTCGCGTTAACGCCAACGAGTTGAAATGATTTCTCGATAATTGCGGCAAAACTCAATGCGCCGGGAAGCTGGCATGATTCTCGTGTCGCTCAGCCAATTTACGAGAAGCTGCGTAGTCGAACCCCCGATGGATTCTATCTGGTAGCTGACACCGCATTCCCCCGCGGGTCAGCCCAAATCAACGGGAAGATACGTGCACCCATCAAGACGGGCCAACGCGTGCAAGGCACCGCCGCGCAGATTGAAGAAAAGCTCGCCTTCGACCGGGAGTTGCTGTCATACCGCCAGACTGCCGAATGGGGGATGCGCACGATCCAAGGGTCCTTTGGCCGTCTGCGTCTCCCATTGAGCATCAGCAATCAGGACGAGCGCGGGAATCTGCTAGAAATTTGT